GCTGTGCAGATTCAAAACAGGAAGCGAGACTGAGGAAACAGCAAACAGGCCGAGCTGTAACTCAGCCAGACGGGCACCAGCTGCAGCTGGCATGTGGTCTGAAGTCTGTTCAGAACCAAATACAGGGAGAGAACTGGTTCTGCAGGCTGAAAACTTTAGGTCCAGGCTCAGTGTCTGAAGCATTTCCATCATTTAATACAACACAATCCCACAGGAAGACAAAACCTGTAATTCTCCTACAGGAAATGACAGCGAGAGGTCAGTGTAGACATGGGGATTCTTCAAACGCAAGAATATTCCCCTTGAATTTAGGACTGTGGTTACTGTAGTTTTCTTTTTGTCTGTACAGGACAGGACTCTTATTATAAATATGAGAGAACTGGAAGCAGTTAAAATAGAAACAGAACAAGTTAAAAGCAGGGTTCAGAAGCATTTTTGTTACAGTCACTGAATTTCTTTTGTTCATTTTTTTATAGGCTTGGTTTATGTTGTCATATATGACGCAGAGACTGTGGTGGATGTGGATCTGGGAATTTCCTCTGGACCCTGGGATTGGAAGAATCCGGGATTTCACTACATTGTGGTGTAAGAGCTCTAACTGTATCCCTCCAGTACGGTTACTTTTGTTGCTATATTGCTGTTTACCTGTTGTGTGGCCTGTTTACCTGCTGTTTGCCTTCTCTGGCCTCTCCAGTGTACTTTTGTTTACCTGTGGTCCTGGCCTTTGCCTCTTATCGTGGCTGGGTGAGGCTACAGCTGTTTACCTGTGATCCTGCCTGTTGGCTCTCCGTGGCCTCTCCTCCTCTGCAAGAGGAAGAAGTCGTTGCTTCTCTCGGTCACCCAGAGTTTCAGAGCGTTTTTCAGGAGAACTTCCTCCGGTTTTAGCCACATTTCTTCCAGCAGGGAGGGCCCTCCGCCGTCTCAGTTTCCTGCGCCTGGCTCCGGTTCTGGACCGGCTTGATCGACCCCACTACAGCGGCCGGTGTTCGGGTTCCCCCATGATTGTCCTGCACTCCCAACAGCTGCAGGTTTCACACTTCGCCCTTCTAGTCTGCTCCTACACCACCGATTTGCAGCAGCTCAGCTGTGTTCCCCAACCAAAGCTGATCTATAAAGGACGATGACTCACTCTGTTGCTGTATCGAGTTCCCACAGTTTTATAAAAAAGAAAATGAAACAATTTTCCCCAGATCCCAGAATCGTACATTATCCCATTAAATCACCCCCATGGTGTTATGATACTGATATTATTTATGTAAAGCCTCTATGGGATTGGAGTTTTTCAAACAGTGGCGCTAAGACACCTCCTTCATCCAGAGACACTGGGACAAATGTCTACAACAACAACACAAATTCATCAGTGTAATTGTAAAGCTGTTACACTGACAAAAATTAAACAAGGACCTTAAAGTCAAACATAAAAACATTTACACCTACTGTAATAAATATTTCTCCCTTTTCAGATGTAAAGTTTATCTTCATTTTTTACTCAGCTGAATTTCACATTTTCATCTTTTGTGTTGTTTTGCTCATAAAAAGTATTATTAATAGTCGTCAAAGATTTTTTTGGTAACTGTTTTGTTAGCATTTTGCCAAGAACAATACATATTGTATATATAATAAATCTTTTAGTTTGAGTGAATTATTTTTTAATTTTATAGCAAATTTCTTATATGAAGATATTGGCAAAAATGTGCCATAATAGGCTGAAACTTGTTGGTGTTCACAAAAGGCAATAAACTTTTTTTTTATCAGTTACACAACACAAGATGCTTTAGTCTACAAAATGTAAAAAATAAAATAAATAAACCCCATGCAGCATATATAAATTAATTTTTGAATTCTCAAAGTGTGGACTACTACTACTACTACTACTACTAATAAATAAAGACGAACCATTTTATAAACACAAAAATAAATTAATGACTTTTCTGGTTCTTGAAAAACAGGGACAGAGTGACACCTCTTCACTATTATTGTCTTCCCTTTCCGTACTTAGCCGACTTTCTCTTTCGCCAGTTCCGGTTGAAAGCCACTAGCCGTCCCGTGATTGGCTGTTAAGAAAACAGCAGCGCACAGGTGCTATTAATAGGTTATTATGAAACTGATATTGTATAAATTCAATCCATTCACTATAATTAAAAAGACCTGAAGGCACAAAATATCCTGTTATTTTCTGCTGTTTAAGGCCCAAAATCCGCAGTCATTGTGCAAAAGCAACCTGTAATAAACAAATCAAGGTTCTTTGTGTTACTGTCTGTCCACAGCTCAGCTAGTTCTACAGGTTGAATGCTGATTACAATATGCAAATCCTGTTTCAATGTTTCAACTAGCACCTGACTGTTGTTTTAAGGCAGCCATGTGAATCTGTCTTTTATAGAAACAAAAGACAACAACAGAAGTATATATTATAATGTTTCTCAGTGGTTATTTGTCACTTTTAAAATAAAATGAGCTCTTGTGCCATAATAAAATACTGTTTTTTTCTTACATACATTGACACAGACACCCAAACCCTTAAAAAAAAAAAAACTCCTTCTAGTGTGCCCTGGATCACCTTGAATAAATCATCATGAGCCAATAGTTTACACAGCCTGATTAAGCCAGGGCACATCAGGAAAAATGTGTAAGGGTGCATGATGTTAACCCACCTCCACACATACACACTGCCTGCCCTCTGTGCAGTGCATGTGTGTGCGCCCTGGTTCCTCACAGTTCCTATCAAGTAAACAAAGCACGTCAGACGACACATTTCCAGGTTCAGAATCCGAACCAGCAGTGGGCCTGCTGAAATAACATCGCCCGATTGTTGTGTGTCAGTCACTTTGTGTTCATTTATTTATGGAAAATGAACATTGTGCACTCAGTGTAAACTACATTGATATGAATCCTTTGACACAGACCTGTAATGTCATTTACTTTTGTGAATTATATTATAATCATTATTTATAGATATGTTAACAGATTGATTGCGTTAAGACTGCTCGAACACAGAAGTGAGCGAGTCACAAAAATAGACTGACCCAGGTGGCTGACTTCGATGCAGACAGTGTAGTTTATTTACAGTGATGTATAAGTGACAAGAAATGAACAGGTGAATAATACAGGGACCGGGTGTCGAGCTTAGGAGTGTACACAGTTAATGATGGAGATTATGCAAAGAGGACCGGGCTGAGGACACTGGGACTCACTCCTGGACTGGTTGGGTTTGATGCTACTGAAGACAAACAGAAACAGTACATACGGTGAGTTGTAGACTGTGCATCGACCTGCAGGGTGGTGAAGAGCAGAGTGGAGGAGGTCCGTGGTCCGAAGGAGCGGCTGCAGACACGGAAACAAAAGGACTGCACACAGACGTAATCCGACAGAAAACAAAAATCTATGCTTGTGTCATAACCACAAAATACGTCTAGCGTTGGAATAAAATCATCGTAACGACACATACATTAAGTCAAACACAGACGTTATAAATAGATGTTTTTTTATGAAACTACAGATCATAGATTAGTTTCTAAAGGATAGAGTAATCAGGTAAAGGGAGAGAAAACAGAGTGAGGGGAGTGAGAAAGGAGGTGCAACCGGGCAAACCTGACAGATTACTCTGTGTATAAGGTGTCAAATATCAGAGGATGCCCCTCATTATTCCTTGGAATGCAACTATTTCTCCAAAGAACATTCATTTTCAAGTAAAATGAGACAGGTGACATATGAAAGGAAAACCCAACATAAAGAGTCCCACTTAGGTGCTGGACCACCACGTGCCACCACAACAGCTTCAGTGCACCTTGGCATTGATTCTCCAAGTCTCTGAACTCCACTGGAGGGATAAACATGGCGGTGGTTGAGACGCTGTCTAACGTGTCACTTCAACATCTCCCATATGTGTTCAACTGGGCTGAGATCTGGTGGCTGTGAAGTCCACAGCATATGATTCGCATACATTTCAGACTCATCAAACCATTCAGTGACTCCTCGTGCCCTGTGGATGTGATTTTTTATTTCATTTTAAAAAAGGAGTGCCTTAACAATGTGGGTGTGTTTATATATACTTGTGGGGATGGAACACCGGGCGCACACTGCTTTGCGGGGACAAGAAGTCACCAGTTCTGGTCCAGTTCGGACCAGTATCCAGGCTCAAAAGGACAGGTTAATGAAAATAATTGGAGCTAAGCAGTAGGGTAACATGGAAAAATTATTATTCAACCATTCAACCCAAATGATCCAAACATCACATTTGAACAGTTCTCTTTGAAGGAAAAAATGGTCCCTTTAAGGGTAATCCAGATCCTGCTATATCCCTCAGTTCAAGTTTGTGAGTTTATACCGTCATCCCGCATGCGTAAATGTCAATCTGTCAGTCACAATATAGTCCCAGGTCCGTTATAACAGTCAAACCAGTCAATTCTCCCCTTATCAAGTTATGAAACTAAGTGGGCCCACCGCACAGGTGCACACTCTCCAGAAGGTTGAAGGAAACATGGGCTCCTTCTTGGTTCATCCCATATCTTGGTCCCATTACGGCTCGCCATCTCCTTCGTCAAGGAGAAAGATGATCCAAATCGAAGATCCAAATCCAGTGAGTTCAGGTGGTTCTAAAAAAACCCAACCTGTACAATAACAAACTTGCGGTTTATAATCTACTTCTTCTCTTATATGGCCATATATAACATCACGTTCAATAACACTGATAGGTTACAACAGTAATGCTCAACCCAATGTATTACCAGGTTCATGTTTTTCCCTCCTTCTGCAGCACTGTCTTTTCCTCTTTTTTTTCGGAACTAAGAAACTCCTCAACAGGAACCACTTCAAAGTACTACAAAAATAAAATATGCTGCCAAAATAAGGGTTTGCTGGCAATAGTATAATGTGAACAATTTACTTCCACTTACTGGGTTACAGTAACGTTATAGCAAGTTCCGGGTTTGGTTAAGGTGAATGTAAGTCTATGTATGGACCCTGTAAGTGATGCCTACAAGGATGTGTGTCTGTCTGTCTTTTATGGTTTTGTGGCTAAAATTTAGTTTTGTACAATTGCTGTGAGGACATTACTTTATTATAAAGACATTTTAGCCAGTCTTCACAATTTCAAAAGAGTTTTTCAGGGTTAAGACCCGGTTTTAGAGTTCAGGTTAATATTGTGTTAGGTATTCAGTTGTAATGACTCCTGGTTAAAAAATGCATTATGTCAATGAGTGTCCTCGCAACTATAGAAAGACCAATGTGTGTAAACAGCACGTGTCAGCAGCCACAAATGAAATGTTGCGCTCCCACTCCTTATATGGTCGTATTGAGCCTCAACGGGAAGTTGGTGTTACTTTTATTATTGTCCCACTGATAAATGATGTGTTCCTCGTGTTTTAAAATAGAAATGACCGATCTGTAGTTTCATAAAAAAACATCTATTTATAACGTCTGTGTTTGACTTAATGTATGTGTCGTTACGATGATTTTATTCCAACGCTAGACGTATTTTGTGGTTATGACACAAGCATAGATTTTTGTTTTCTGTCGGATTACGTCTGTGTGCAGTCCTTTTGTTTCCGTGTCTGGGAGGAGAACGGTGGTGTGATTTTAGAGGATAGATTTATCTGTCAAAATGCAGGTTGGTAACGTTTTATAAGATTTTAAAACAGTTAGATCTAACGTTAGTGGATGGGAACATTTAACTTCGGTCTAGTACGTTGAGATAATTTTAGAGCACAGTGTTAAAATGTAGCTAAGTAGTGTAGCCGACAGTTCCGATGTTAGTTGTATTAAGTAGCCCAGTACTTAATCCCCCAGACCTGCCAAAAGCAACAAAGAGGAGACGTTGACATTAGCTGGTACTAAATATGAAACGATTCAGGACAATGCTAAGCGACCGACGTGTCGTATTTGACCCACCTATGTTTGTGAAGGGCGTTAAATATAACGTTACTAAAGCTTTTAAGTTGTGTAATGTTTGTTCTATTTGTCAAAGAATAAAGAGTCAACCTCACTGTGTTTTCCCCGTTTAACGTAGTTGACACCCAAATAATAAATCATCCAATGTAGTCTCTGATCTAGACATGTCAAATTTGGACTAGACTAACAGGTGGAGTATAAGTCAACAGTTTCATATGTTAATTTGTATATTTGTTCTGTTCAAAGTGTACTTAAAATTAAAAAGGACCCCAGGCACAGAGACTTACAGGGGTCACAGTTTCAGTCCAATCCAGGGTTTGTACAAGCTTGTTGACATGTGATCCACAAGAAGTCCACATAGTTTGTGCTAACAAACATATCCTGTGCAGGAACGAGTGTCCTTATGCACTCACTGTTTTTTAAACAGCACCTTAGCAACACTGTCCACTTGTCTGTGGAAAATAAATAAGAGGATCACTGTTGATATCGCCGTATTTCTGTGTCAGTGGATTCAGGTATAATATTTTTAATACTGGTGTCTCGTTTAGAGGGGATGAGGTGAGTTTTAAGAGTGAGTATATTACGTTTTTTTTTTAGCTTACAGTCCCTGTCCTTCAATCAATTGGAGCGATAAACCTGTGTAGGGAGTTTGCACAGAATATAAATTAAACCCTGACTTTGGAAATTTGTCACTGATCCACAGAAACAAAAATATGCCACATACCAGAGCTAAAAGCCTGTGTATAACGGTATTTGTACATATGCTTTGTTTTCTCCCCAGGACCCGAACGAAGACACAGAGTGGAATGATATCTTGAGGAAGAAAGGCATTCTTCCTCCCAAAGAGATACCTAAAGATGATGAAAAGGAGGAGCTGGGCCTCCAAGAACACTCCGTCGGTAAGTGAGACAGGTTGGGATAAATATCAAAGTGTTTTGTTTTTTGATGTGGGAGATATGTTTCCTCATTACAGAGCATCATTAAAAGTGTCATCCAAATCAATTCAGCCTGTATGTTTGTTTTATTTGTACCACTGAAAACCATGTAAATGATATTTATTTAATATTTCTATTTAACCTGTCGAAAATCCTGTCGAGATCAGTATCTCTTTCTCAAGGAAGGCCTGGCCAAGATGGCAGCCATACAGATTTACAACATATTAAACCTCAACACATCAAACATGCAATTTGATATTTCTGAAAGAGTTCAGTCTATGATAGTTTGATCCGATTCAGCTCATCACCATGTGTTAGAACATGTAACATCAGCCCCTGTGACTGTTGTTGTTGGTTCTCTGAACAGTTAAAACATATGAGAGCATGACACTAGAAGAACTGGAGGAGAATGAAGATGAATTTGGTGAAGATGATGAGGCTGCCATGGAGATGTACAGGTGAGTTTCCAGGAAAAACACAAGCAGAAAAAAATGCTTGTTATTGGCCTGAGTTTCAACGTAGAGTCACCAAACCAGACAGACTGTGTGTTGTGGTTGTGTTGATTAACACATACTACCAGATATTTTAGTTGCAAATTACTTACCATTTCCTTTGGTGCAAAGTTATCCTTCACAAGAATTCACAAATTGATGCCAAATTATCCAGCTCACATATGAATCTATGAATGTGACTGAAGCTCTCATGGCAATAACTGGAGTGGATTGAGACTCTAGTCAGTCTACATTATGTTGTCTGTACTGATGTGAGTTGTCTCCTCACAGACAGAAGCGTCTTGCAGAGTGGAAGGCGACTCAGATGAAGAATGTGTTTGGGGAGATGGGAGAAATCTCCGCGCAGGACTATGTGAAGGAGGTGAACAAGGCTGGAGAGGGGATCTGGGTGGTGCTGCACCTCTACAAACAGGGGTAGGGCCTCCTACATGAGGTTTTATGCTGCTGTGAGATTTAAGTGAATGCACCTTCTAATCTCTTAAGTTCTACCTTTTTTAGTTTTTCAATCAACTTTTCAGATGTGTGCTATTCAGTGAAGTGATATATGAACTATTTTATTTGTTGTGGCTGTTGGAATGTCAGGTGTAAGTCAAAACTCATCCACTTTATGTTTACAACTGTTTGTTGTAAAAATCTGTTTCTGGGAAATGAATCCAAAACCCTTTATGGTAGAAGATGTGAGTGTACGTGCTGTGCAGGACTTAAAACCCAAAGCTCTGACAGTTTAAATACTACCTTTAGTGTTGCTGTTTTAAAGACGTGTTGATTAATGCATCAGATGAATGACAACGATTTTGATAGTTGTCATTCAAACGATAATCTTCCTTTGTAAATTGCATGTCTTTTGTTTTGGGCCGTTGGGCGATCTGAAGACATCACATCAAGTTCTGGGAACATTTCACTGTTTTCTTCTCACAAAACAAACTGATAGTGCAGCACTAACAGCTCTGTCCACGCTTTCCTGTCCACTCTTGTCATTTCCCAGCATCCCTCTGTGTTCCCTCATCAACCAGCATCTGAGCGCGTTGGCCAGGAAGTTTCCCCAGACCAAGTTCCTCAAGTCCATCTCCACCACCTGCATCCCCAACTACCCCGACCGCAACCTGCCCACCATCTTTGTCTATTTTGAGGGGGAGATGAAGGCTCAGTTCATCGGCCCGCTGGTCTTTGGGGGAATGAACCTCAAAGTCGAAGGTAGGAGGAAACTTGAAATCCCTTCAAGCAGCTATTGTTTCATTTTCTCCATGGAAAATATTAGTTTTTTAAACTCAGTATATTGTTTACTAAACCCTGAATACAGTCACATTCAGTACACCTGAGGAAAGGGTGTGTAATGTGTCCTGTCTGTCTTCCAGAGCTAGAGTGGAGGTTATCAGAGACGGGGGCGGTGAAGACGGACCTGGAGGAAAACCCCAAGAAGCAAATTGAAGACAAGCTAATGTCATCAATCAGATGTTCGCTTCCTGTACGAAAGGACAGTGACTCTGAGGACGAGGACGATTAGAGGAAATGTCACACCAGACCAGAAAGACCGTGTGGCTGCTACATGGGAAACACTCAAAGGACCTTGAATGGTTTGCAGGGACGGCGCCTCCTTTATCCACAAGTACATGCCATATTGTAACCATGGCGCTCAGTCCTGCTCACGGCACCTTGACAGGACGCTTGGCTGGAGAGAATCACACCTGTACAGCTCCATGAGAACGTTGCACAACACAACAATAACCCCTTTGTAATTACAATAAATATCCAACTCCATCACCTGAATTTTTACAAAAGCATCAAACACAAATTTAATCTTTTTTTTATTGTTTCATGATAATTTTGTCACAATGTACATGTAAATTAAAATCTGCTAGATTAAACGTGAGTTCACCTCTTTGCCACCGTCATCGTTGCCTGGTTTTAAGAGCTTTTTTGAGCAATGTGTTTGTATTGTGTGACGCCCTTTTTGTGTGTAATAGTGAACATTTCACTTACACCGATGGACATTTGGAAGCAGGAAGACACATGGCAGTGCAGTGCTATTTCTCCATCTATACAATAATTTATTTTCTCTGAACAAAGAATCATGCTCCTGTCTGGTGAGGCGTTGAAGATGCTGTGTCACTCCATTGGTCATTGTTGGGTGTGATGTCCACAGGCGAAGCGGCCTGCTGCTCTTCTTTTACATCTGATTTCCTTTTCTTTTTCTTTACAACATCCCCCCCGGCAGCCCTCGAATCTTCTGGTTTGTTAGCAAGACAGAAAAAGACGGAGTCAGTGTCAGCAGTAAATTGAACCTGAACATTGGTGTCATTGACTTTTTGTTTTGTTTGTTTTATTAAAGGAACAATTGAGCCTTTTGGGAAACATGCTTAGTTCCTTTCAAGCAGAGAATAAGACAAGGAGTCAGGGTGCATTTTATTTATACCGCCCAATACCACAAATCAAGTTTGCCTGAAGAGGCTTCTGTGCAGTAGAACACTAGTATCACTCTCGTCTCTGTTAAATATGAAGCTACAGCCCAAAGATGGTTAGCTTAGCTTGACACAGAAGAACTGCATGAAGCAATAAAAAACAGAGCTATGACATGTTATTTATCTTTAGAGGTGCTGATTTATGGGTCGTGTTACCTTTGGAGAAACAAGCAGGCTCATTGTTTCCAGACAAACTGCTGTTGATCATTTCATCTACATAATTCCCAGTAAGAAGTGCATTTCCCAAAATGTTAAACTGGTCTTTTAACTACTGGATCCTTTTACCTCTTCAGGCCTCTAACAGATACTCAGATGAAACAAAAAGGAGAAAGTCATTGGTTGAGCTGCTCAAAACTGACACATAAAGGGAGTCTGTAACAAGGTGTCGCCAGCTACAGTAAAGAGGTTTGAAGCCAACCAAAGAAAGTTTCCTGTGTCCTAACTGAACTGAGGTAATCCTCCTCTCATATTTCAACATCCCACCTAAACCACGGTTGTCTCCAGGTGCCTGTTGTACATCTTCAGTCATCTTTTGACATGCCTGTTTCTTATGTTTCTTCTCCCTTCAGTATGTTTCAGCTTTATAAAAACTCTCAGCTACAGACCAACACAGTCTGTGGGTGTTTAGTTTACTCACCAAACGCACCACCTTCTTCTTTCTCCTCTGGGAAAGTTTGGGTGAAAGTTGCATCAGTGGGTGAACTGGGTAAGACTAGAGGAGGAAAGAGAAGAGTTAGCTTCATCATGACCTGCTGCTTGACAGGTTGGTCATCTGAGGGAACGGAGGGTGGAGTTTGATCAGTGTTGATACTGTTCATACTGTTATATAGTTCCTTCAGACCACCTCCTCATTCCTTGGTGAACTGGAGTGACTTCCGGGTCGAGCAAGAATCAAGAATAAGTGAATTTGGATTCTGTTTCATGCATCTTGGGGTCTCATAAATTTGTTCTTATGCTCTAGGTCGACCTGAAAGTCGTTCCAGCCAAACAGGGACTGATGACGTTTCTTATATTGGCTCTGAGAGCCGAGGAGCAAAGAGGCTGCTGGAGGAGCCATGACTGAGGATACATGAGACCATCCTTTGCAGATGTTTTTGTGTGAGTGTGAACTGACATGTCCCTTTATCAGAACTCAGCTGGTAATGGGACACTTCAAATGAAGGATCTGATGTTAATAACGTGTTTCCTCGAGTCCTGTCCTCTTATGTTTCCTTTGCATTTTTCCTTGTATCTTACACGGGCAGAACTAAGACACAAGACTTGGGATATAAACATGGTCTTTAATGTTTTTATATGAGCCCTTATCTTTTATAGATCAGCCTCTAAGCTGCAAGCAGATGTGTTATGTTCTTTTTTTCCACCACTGTTGCACAAAGTGACCGTAAGTGTTGCGAAACCTGACTGAAGCCATCCAGTAAGATGACTCTTTGTTCCTCTGCTCACCTCTTGCTGCACAGCTCCTGCAGAGTTGCGTGCTTTGGAGTAATGAAACAGGAACTGAAACAAAGGCGAAGTTATAAAGTCAATGAGCTACTGTTGAACAAATGTCAGAAATAGGAAATGAACACAACTGTGGACAAACACTTACTCTTTTGAAAACATTCTGGACTTGTTGCTGTGTAGAAACACAATTTGAGGTTAATAGTAGAAGGAAAAATCACACAGTGAAGCTGTAGTTATACTGTATTCCTGTTTTATGGTTCCTCACATTTTAAGCCGATGTACTAAGATTTCTGCTCTGGGTTGGGATGTCTGGAGGCTGGTGGTTGCCAGTGGTTGTGATTTGTTGTACCTTAATTTCCCCTGTGTGCTGTGTTCTGTGGATGTGTGTGAATTCCTAAAGGCAAGCTGCAGCACTTGAAGTAGCTGGTTAGACTGAATGAGTGTGTGTGTGTGTGTGTGTGTGTGTGTGTGTTGCCCAGGAGCTGATTGGTTGCAGCTCCCGGCACAGGTGCTTAAAGACTGGCTGACCTCAGGTCTGTGGAGGCTCACCTCGTCACACCTACAGACCTCCAGCCAAGCACACTGTGAGTCTGGTTTAAATAATAATCATCTTATGTTTTGGGATCGTTGTCGGGGCGTGGTTACCATTTTTGTTTGACATCTTTTTGTCCTGCTTTCTGGGACAGGAGCTACAGGTAAGACTGTCCTGACCAGGGAGATCCCATTTAGCTTGTTACGTTTATTGTTTTCCCAAACTCACCTTGATGTTATTTACCTTTTTTAATTTTTCGAAAGGTTTGCCAATATAAAAGTCCCATTTCCAGGAATTTAATTTCTGTTGTTGTGGTTGTTTGTGGGTGCTGGGAAAAGGGGGGTGTCGTTTTTATGTTGAGCCTGAGCCGGGGCACAACAGTGGTGACCTGAACTTTTACAGAAAAGTTTTATTAAAGCTGTGACGATGTTTACAGCCTCAGTAGCTGAGATTGTCGTTACTATGGCCAAGGTCATAGGTCATTAGACTGACTTTATCACTGTACCACTGTCACACCACTGACAGACGAGAGGCCAGTGCTCTGCTCCTCCTGCTCCATCTCATGGCTGTTCTTCTCAGTAGCTCTCTCTCTCTCTCTCT